CTAGGAACTAAGGGGAACCAGGAGGGGTAGCCCTCCTGGGTGGAGTGCAGATCAGGTGGTCCTGGAGTGGATATTTTTCCGGACCTGTCTCCGAGGGCTTAGCCTTACTGTGGGTTAAAGTGCAGCCAGGGGTTGCACTTCCCTGCGACTTTTTTAATGGAAAGAAAGACAGTAGTTCCACATTTCAGGACCTAATAAAGGAATGCGTCTTGGTCTGGTATAATACCATAATATAAATGATTAATGTTGTACAGATACATCAAGATGCAGAGGAATAAAATAATGATCTGCTTGGTGTACTATTATACATTCTGTTTGGGCTAAGTATATAGTGACTATAAGGAGTACAACATGTAAATTACAGAGAAAACAAAGGTTCTAGTCAGAAAAGAAAAAGGGAGGGGGTGGGAGGGGAAAAAGAGGTTGAAGCAAAGTTGTATTGGTAGTAGGTGGTCCTTGAAAATCTAATGAGGTCCTTGAAAAGTTGAATTTTTTTGTATGAACCCTGAAGCGGATGGATCACTGCCTAACTAATGGCAGTATCAACAGAATGTGCCGCAGCATAACTATCTTTTAGATACCTTAGTTTCATAAAAAAAACCCCTTTGGAAAAATTCAAATAACGGAAAATGACATTTTTATAGTCTGTAGAGCCTTATTTTGTAGCCAGGGTTGTCACTAAGATTTCAAGTTGCCGCGTAATTGTTGTTTGTAGCCAGGGAAGTCGGAAGCGGTCATGGAGCCCCCCATCCCCCAAAGAAGTTTTAGACATTTTCTAAAAGGCATTAGCGCAAAAAAAGGGCGATCTTCATCAAGAGCAGAGCTATTATTAGCGGTTTATAACGCCCACGTCTTTATTAAAGAAAACTACCACATTCTGAGACACTAAAATAATACTTTTTTACTTTACGTAAAGGCGGGTTGGAGGGTTTGTTTTAGTGGCCGCCAACCGGGAATACATGTAAGGTCAGGGGCTTACATGTGACTTGATCTTGTGGTTAGGTAGCTCTTCTTTCATGATCCAATACGCAGCTGGGAAGACCTTCAACAGCACATCTTCTGCGACTCTTTCGCGTTCGTCAAGGGTTCTCTGAAACACGGAAACCCTCTGTAGCATCTCCGCTGAAACTGTGTTCATTTATTGTGACGTACGGCAGTGATCTTCAAACTCCTCTGGGCGAAATCGTTTACAGGGCTCTTTATTTAAAACTTTCGACTTATTTTGAGGATTAGACGTGTTATGTTTTTTGCACAACAAGCACAAGAGACCCTCGCCTTCAACATAAACAGACCACCATATCTCAGTTGTAAGACAAAATGACATCGATCTTTTGTTTAGCCAACTATGTTGAAATTTGTAAGTCTGCTTTGCAATCTTTGTTGCTTCATTGTTGGTAACATCACAACAACCAGCCTTTTTACAGAAATCACGCTGATGGTACTTAGATGAAAACAAGTAAACCGGGGGGGGCTCCCATATGAAAGCAGCGGGGATGCTCGTCGTCTCGCTTAGGGGTGTAAATTTCGGATTTCGGTCTCACTTAGGGTGTTCTGGGCAAAACGTCAGTGTATTTAACCGTAAAGGTCTCTCTTAGGGTTGCACGGGAAGATATATATTTTGTCAATTCGTTTTATTTACTCAATTCATGTGATCAAAGTTTTCTATAACATCAATACCTAAAGAAAAATGGTCTCTTTTAGGGGTCCAAGAAAGGTTCGCCCACGCCCAGGTTGGTCTTCTTAAGGGGTTTTAATTTAAAATTCCGTGCCCCTTTCATATGGCAGGCCCCCCCGGGTTAAAATTATACATATTGCGTGACAGCGTGACACGTCACGAAAAAAAGCAAAAACCCTGTCAGGGAGGTGTTCTGGCGGCCATTTTTCCCGTTTAACCTCTGGGAGAGAGTTAGCCGTTTAACCTCCGGCGCGAGGGTTCCCATTTAACCTCTGGGACCGAGTTAATAGTTCGAGCACCTCCCTGCACTTGCTGGGCCGGAGATCGGGGCCCGTCAGCAAGCTAGACAGTCCCCCCCCGGTAAGTCAATCTACCGCACGGGTTAGTCAAGCAGGCTTCAGAGAGTTGGCCATCTCTCACCGCCCTATAACCCCACCAGCAAAATCAACCTATCTGTTGCCTTAGAAAATTTACCTATATATTTGGATCGGAAACTCATTTCGCTCACTTATGGTTTCAAACACCCATGGTACGGTTCTTCACAGACGCATGCGTGTTAGGCCCAAAAAATGGTTTTGAAATTTCGTTGATTCATACACAATATCCTCATTCACTCAGGCCCGTTCAGTTCAGCCATGAAAAATATGGCTATCATTTTGTAAAAGTTGTTTTTCCTCAAAATATCGGGTAGCCCAGCTTTCCACAAACTCTTGTTACAAAAACGCGTCTTATTTAGAGAGGTGCTCAGCATTTTATAAGATTGAATTTGCTATTAACTGTGCATTCCATTGGAGACTTCGCAACATACATTTTCCGCCCTTCGACGACTCAAGTAATACCTTGAAGGAACCATGAACATGAAGCAAGATCGACGTCTGAACAACGGCCTACTTATGCACGTCAATAATTGATAATGAACGATCCGGGCACTGTTAAGGCTGCAAGGAAGCAAACAGTTTTTCTTTCCACACAACTATGCAAAAGACATTCTGGGAAATTTGAACAGAGGTATACGCTTGGTTTGGTGTACGAGGACGCTTTTTTTGTGTCTATCAAAATCGAGTCTGGTTTGAGGAGTTTCGAAATGATTAACATAATATATAGAGATTTAGCCAGGGCTAAAAGCGAAGTTCTCGATAACATTTATAGTTTGTTCAAACAAAATATAAAATGGTGTAATGCTAAGCCGCGAATGCAACGCCGGTTAACGGTGAAAAACAACAATAAGTCCTTAGTTAGCAAAATAGCAACATTGCACGTGCAGCACACTTTTTTTGTACATTTCGTTGCCGATGTTTTGCACGACTACAACGTGAAAACTTGCAGAAACTTCGGAGTTACACGTTTTATGGAGGAAATGTCGGACGTGTTCTCGTTCACTTTTTTATCACTGCCGCTCATCCTTGCATTGGTGGCCGCTAGCATTTTTAATTTTGACACCGCCGCTACAAAATTTTCATATTCTTCCAATAAAAAAATGTGTCCTTTATTTTTAACTCTCGCTCTAGATCTCTCGTTAAGCTTCGCTGGCCTGCCGCCTGCTTCCTCTTTTTAACTGTCTTTCTCTTGCTCTATATTCCAAATTTGTCGACATGACAATTTATCTAAGCTTAATACTTTAGAAAACACGGATGCAGAGACAATTTCTGCTTTCCGTTTTCATCTTCATTGACTCCTCAGCTGTCTCTGCTTTAAAAAATAACGTCGAGTTCCATTTGGGTTGCCATACGTGTTGTTTGAGTTATTTTGCATTGGGAGGGACGGTCGGTCGGTCTACGATCACGTGATCACCAAATTTTCTGGGATGTGTAGTTTACCACATTTTCTCAGCCATGGTTCTCTGCTGCGAGTGTTTCGCGCGCGAGAGCTCCGCTAATAAAACGGGCTGGTTGGAAAACACAAAATGAAGTTATAATTTTTTTCAAATTTGACTTACGTTTTGTTTTTACGGTAACATTGTCTGCAGCTGCTGCTGGCAACAATTTTAGACGTATTTTTCGTTCCTTTTCCATGGGAAAGAGAAAGCAAAAAAGTTACGGAAGTCAGAAAATAGTGGATATTGTTTAATTATGCGCAAAAGAATACCGTACCACAAATGTTATGTACCACAAACGTTTAGTTACACAATCTTTTAAGGAGCAACCGATTTGAAGTTCAGAAATGGCCCTTGGTTGAAGATCTTTTGCTGTTGTGTTTTCGTCGTTTTCGTTGTATTCCGCGGTTTGGTTATTTGTGCTTTTTTTCTTCCGCTTATATACAAACATCTGTTCTCTCCCAACATCAGAGCATATTTTAGGGCAGGTAACAGAACAGTTTCAAAAGTACAAAGGCTTGTATAGCTTCAAAGGACTTGATAGAAACCGGCCCTGAAAGAGTATGTAGTAAAGTTAAAGAATTCGTGACACTTTGTACAATGAATCGTGACTTGTTAATCTTGAGTGAACAATAGATCAATTACTAGCTTGATAGGAACCGGAAATATGATCCCTATTGTGTAAGCAAGCGTGCAAAAATGTGCAGCGTGTAAAGTAGATAGTTAGATGTGCCTTCCGATCGGAATAGCGTAAAAGCTACAAGCTACACCCTTTAAACTGATAGGATTTTGTGTAGGATGGAATGATTACTCAAACCTAGCCGCTCAGGATTTACGTAACTAATGTAGGTGTAATAGTGTTTTAAGCTTTCAATCGAATTAGGGTGTTTACTAGAAAGGAAACCACATGCATTCCCTACTATATTTTCCCACGTATGATTTAGCTACCAATATGTATAAAAGTACCTTGATTTAGCAATAAAGGATGAATGTGAATGTGATCAGGACTTGAGTGTGTGCAAGTCTCTTAGAATACTGATAGCCCGAAACCGGCCAAGTCTAGAGATACTCAAGCAGTCGACACTTATCTGTTGGCCACGAAATCAACTCCCGTTTACAACAAGTACAACTTTCAACTTATATTCGGCTTCTTGAACCGTAAGAGACCTTCGAATCGGTGATCTTTGTTCCAAAGCTTTGAATAGGTATGGAGATTTTTGTTGCCCCATGCAACAATACTGGGGACAACTGTGTGAACAGTACGATGAGCAAGAACTGGGGCATATGGTGTAGGTAATGCATAGCTTTGTGGTGGCGAAAAGTTTGGCTTAACATTTCCTGTTGGCCTTGATTTTGTTAAAAACATAGATTGTTCAGATGGGGCAGGACAATAGTGCACCAGGCACATGTTGTCACAGCGAATTGCACATTGCGATTGGACAGATAGCAGGTGACTGTGTTGAAACATTAGGAGGATAGTGCTCTTGACAACAAGGTTGTTGGCATTGCGGAATGCAGCTGACAGAGCAACTGCTTGGACATAAGCTTGGCATCGGCGGAGACACCTTACAACAAAGAGATGGGCATGATGGTGATGGTAAGCAGTTGAAACTACAAATAGTTGGACTGCCTCTCATCAGATTCTCCTGGAAATGAGGCATCAACAGCATCATGGGTAACATCATCAGTGAGCTGGGAATGAATTTCACAGCAGGGTTGCTTTGCCTGCAGCTATCATGCTCTTGAATCTTGTTTCTAGTGTTTGGAAGTGATATTGATTACTTACATTATTTATCAAAATCGTTGTTGACGGGCCCTTTTTATCTTGAATTTTAAAACATGCAGTGGTTAAGTCAACTATCTGGATAAACGTTTTCTTAGCACACACATTGAGATCAACATGCATACCTTGAATTTGATAAACTGGATGCTGGCTAACGGCGAAAATGAGTCCAGATTCCTTTGTTGCTTTTTTGACATGTTCAACACAAAGCCGACACAACGGTTGAAGCTGACAGAGTTTTTGCGCATGTGTGCTAGTACCAAATCCAAGTCAGATGTCTTTTTCTTAGCTGTTGCACGTGAGTGCTGCAGATGAAACTTGCATTTAGTTTGAACTGATGGATTTTTTTTGTGTGTATCAAAGGTGTGCTGTAATGATATTACTTAGTTGACTTTTTCAAATGCTCCTTTTTAATGAAGTATTTTTTTGTGTTGCTGTTTTTTGGTTCAATTTAACGACTTAAGTAGCCGGGGGAAATCCCCGGCCTAAGTGACAACCCTGAAATTATCTGACAATTTTAATGTGCTGTACATCTCCCCCTATCATTTCTAAATGTTGGGCTACATTCTCTGAAGGGCAGACATTTTAAATCAAGTCCCACACTGATGTTAGTAGAAAAAAGAAAAATCTAATTGTTATGCACTTCAACACATTCATTTAGGTGATTCACAAAACCTAATCCTCAGTTGCTTGCCATACAATTTTTAATATATTTGTCTGTTTGTCACAAAGAAAGAACTAAAATTTGGTCTTTTTGCCATTAAAAGTGTTCATATTTCCGTATTTAGGGCCATCATTTTTACTTAGTGTTTGTGATTTTTAGCCACATTTATTTTTTATCCTCTTCCTCCTCGACAGAAATATCACAAAAATGATTTGTTGATGTAATTGCCTTTTTTTATTTTTCTTCAAGATGCCAGTACAATTCTCACTATCAATGAAGCAACAGATAGCGAATATGTTAGCCAATCGTATTGCAGAATTTGTGATGATACCATTTTTCACTGCTTTGCTTTTGCCAATGACTTAGCATTTATCTATCTTTGGAAGCATCATAATACTACTTAATTATACAATGTATTTGTAAATGTCAATATTCATGTAAAAATCTCTTTCTTACTTTACAGGAAGCAATCACAAGAATGGTAGACAAATGGAGGTTTGTATTTATGAGTGTGCAGTAGTGCTGGACACTGGATGGATGACATAACATGCACCTAGTACAAGGCAACTGGATAATGTAGAGGACAGACTAGAGGGCAAACAAGACAACTGACTAGGCAATGGACTGGGCAAATTAGAGCTGGCTGGATGGCATCACCTAGTACAAGAACCTTGTTTAGAACAGAATGGAGAGGATGGATTAGAGGGCAAGTGATATGAGACATCATGTGTACCTGGTGCAAGAGTTGGGCTGTGGATTGTGGAGAGCCTTGTCATATCTGGTTTGTATTGCATGATGTTTTAATTGACTAGAAATGGTATAATTATTATTTTAAAACATCATAGTTTAATATTATCTCACTCTTTAAATAATAGCAATAATAATAACATCTAAATCCTGATGTCAAAAACTAAGTTAAAATTTTTGGCCCTGCCCGGGAGGCCTGAATGTGGGGTACAGCTGGCCTGGAGTTCTCCTCCTAGGAGCAAGTGGACGTACGGGGAGGTTTTTCACCCAGCTGTTGTCCCACAACCCCCATTCACACAGCATTTCCTTAAACATGAGAATATAACTGAAATATTGTATATCACATAAAATTCACATTAATTCAACTACCCAGTTGCTGTATGACTGAAAGAACTTCCTTATGATAGCTGTGGGTTTTTGGGAAACAAATATGCAACCTTCAGAAATTACTTTTAAGTATTGTAAGGGGTTCAAGAAAATAGTCTGAAATTTACAGAATGAAATATTTGCCTTTTAACAGGGAAAATTAATTTTCACCGGTCTCTTAATAAGGATAGGTGGAATGTTCAAAATTCTTTTACATTTATATGCATCTAGACACTTTTTCAGTCATGTGACAAACTGAAATTAATTCATTGATTACCTTAAAGTTAAACTCCACTTTTTTATTAGTAATAATTCCAGCGTGTTTGCCACCATTGCACAAACAGAGGCCATTGGGAAGTGTCATTAATCAGCATTACATTTATTTGTAGCGTTTGTTTTATTAGATAAATCAATTATTTGGTCAAGGAATGTTAAGTTTCGGTCTTCAATTTGCATATTTTATTCCCCGCAATTGTTTATTCAACCAGTTAGTTTAGTTTAACATTTCCACTATGAGATTCCATTGAGCAGTGGTTTTGTTTTCCAAAGAAACCAGCTGACATTTGGAGATGCCACGGTTTTTCCACTGGAGAACAGAAAGAACTTTTGGAATAGTTTCAAACATCCTAGGAGCGTATTTAAGAGAGCAGACTATTGGTTACTATCACATTCTCTTTAATTATGCTCAGATGATTATTTACTAATATGCACGTCCACATTTCTTGGTGTTACAAAAGTTCCTTCGTAAATATCAGTTGTCAGTTTGTTTGTTTGTTTTGTTTTGTTTTTTTTTTTCACTCTAGGTTCTTGCTCCTTAGCGAACTAGCACGTTGCTAGTTGCAGCTAGTAATGTGCCGTTATAAAAAAACTCGTAAAAAATTAGGGTTATTACTAACTCTTTCTCTTTTTCGGAATTTTATTGTAACACCAAGTAAAATAGGGCTGTTATGTTCTTAAAGTGCTAATGGGCTTGCATTTTTTACTTAAAATTTTAACTTCTTATTTAATTTCAGATCCTAGGTGGCACACTCACAAGATTAGGAGCCCATCACCTGGGAAAGGTCATGTTTAATCTAGCCAATCTCGCCCCTGCTGGGCTGTGGAAGCTCTGCCTCTGAGAAGGTGTGTTTCTGATGTCTTCTGAGATATTTCAACGGAGAAACCCTGGGAATGTATCTGATTCTGTAATTCTTGCTGGGGGCAGTTGGGCACTTCTAAGATTTGGCCGTTTGTTCCCAAGTGGGGAGGACAGTGTGGAGGAAGGTGAGAGTTTGCTTCTTATGTTCTTGGGGCTTCATTCATTTTGTCATAATACTACCCACACCTTTTTCCAAATAAAAAAACAGTAAGGCGCTTGCCTGCGGTAGGATGAAAAACGGCGGTGCTAACATTGTGCCGGCTCACGGAGTAGGTGTGTCGATGGAGGATTCGAGGACAGAGGACTGGACACTGAATCTTACCGGGTTGGAGTGGGTGGATTTTTACAAATGACATCAAATTGAGCTGATAGTCATAAAAAATCTCTTTAATGGGGGGCAACTGGTAATGGAGTTCTCTTCTAAACCTAAAAATTTCACATCTATCTCAAGCTTGCTTAGGCCTAATGATAAATAACCTTTCAAATCATCGCATAGGATAAAAATCATGTACAAATCAATTATTTAGTATCTTAATTACCATTTCCTTCTCATATTTCCTGTCTGAATTACCTTAAAGTGATCAAAACTAAGGTTATGTTACATCAACATCTGTTGTTTTTGTGTCAACTGGAAACAACAGTCAAACAAACTTGGCTGTTGATGTTAAAGACTAACTTCTCCTTGATATTATTTAAGCCTTTGGAAACCTAGCCTGTACACAGACGTTGTTTTATTTTTCTTTTCGTTCTTTTGGAAAACATCGGCGTGCGCGAGAGCGACGTGAGCACGCGAGCGCGAACCGCGAGAAAGAAAAATAAAAACGTCTATTTCCTTCTTCCCCCACCCCTACCCCTTTGCGCTGGCGGTCAATAAATCCCCCGCGGTTTATTTTTTATCACGCGCGCTTGACGGAGGAGAAAATAGAAGTTCTGTGAACAGGCTATTGGAAACCGAGATAACTAAACCGTATTAAGTTAGGATCAAATTATTACGATTAAACCAACTTGATTAATAAGACTGCTGTGGAAGTCTTCTCTATTTCTTTGTTGAAAAGGGACGTAGATTAGATTTCCTTGGCTTGGCTGATAACTCAAGTTAATTTGACATTCATGCTCTGTAGGCATAAATATATAAACAACTTTTTTTCGCTTAGTGTCTTCTTTAAATTTTCAGCAGTGACTTCAATTGATACATTAAAATCGGCTTTCCCATAAAAGACTGACTGGAAGATTCTTCTTACCGTATTTATTCGAATAAGCGCCCAACCTCGAATTAGCGCCCACCTCGAATAAGCGCCCATCCTAAAGGCAGAAAAAGTTTATAAGCGCCCACCCCGCCTCCTCAAAATCAAACTCAAATAAGCGCTTACCCCCACCCCACCCACTTTAGTGAATAAATTCTACTAAGAGACTTCCCCGAGGACGGAGTTTTCTTCAGAGTATTTTACAGAAACCTTGCTTTGTTAATTCTTCGCATTTTGTTATTAGCTTTTTGTTGTTCTGTTGCAAAATAAACATACTTCACTTGCTGAAAATGGTGAAAATTTAATAAGCGCCCACCTCGAATAAGCGCCCACTCTCAAGGTCCAAAAATTTAATAAGCGCCCAGGGCGGTTAATCGAATAAATACGGTATATATTTTTTTATTTAAATAACGCGTTCGGCTAGTTCCAGTCTTTTGTGGGAAACCTGATGTAAAGTATCCATTCCGGTCTCGACAGCTGAAACATCTAGGGAAATTGGCCCAAATTATTATTGCGGCAACTTTTCATTATTATGCGGATAAACATCGCGGCCAAGTTTTTCCAGCCAAAATTTAATTTTACTTTTATAAAATACATTTCTGCTAATTTCCTTTTTCGTTTCGAAATACGAAAATTTGTCCATTATTTTCATTGGAAGTAAAAGGATCCCCAACTTAACTTAAATGAAATATTTATTTACAAAGTCGCTTTAGATGAAATCCCTTTGGCCAAATTTGAAGGCGAAATCTATTCGGTACTGATTGTAAATAACGGCATCCAAATTCATAATAGGGGAGACAAAGTTTAGATACTGAATTTTAAACTAAACATTAAGACCAAAACTCAATCGCGGCGCTTCGGCATTTTAGGATAAATGATAATAAACAGTGCTAGAATAAAATCTTATTTCCAGCAGCAAATTTCATTTCATTGAGACCCAAACATTAAACACTAAACATTAAAATAGGGCGAGAGAAATCCAGCATCAGTTGCTTCGCAGAGGGAGATTATTATTGACTTGTGCTCTTTGGTGAAGTTTGTGAAATGAAGGTCAGTCAGACCAGCGCGATTCTTTGTTCAATTCTCTGCCTTCGTTTCTGATGGAGACCCACTGAAGACTGAGTTTCACTCTGTAGCACCCTCTTTTTTTCTTGTCCGAGTCTCTGGGTATTTTCACAATATACTGACTTTGTAGATACGCTTCTTCACCTAAAACAAATTATATTTTCACTGAGAATTATTTTGGCCGGTGTGGTATTGTGACATAAATGAGTGAGACCCTGAGAGCATGAGGAGCAAACTCTCACTTTCCTTCACGCTGCCCACCCCACTTGGGAACAAACGGCTAAATTTTCTAAGTGTTCAACTGCTCCCAACTTGAGTGAAGGGATCAGATAGAAAAGACCAGGATTTAAAAGTGTATAAGCAGAGTAAAGAAATCCAAAAGGAGCAAAAGAAGGCTAGACAACTTTTTTTTTTTATTTTTTCTTTAGTGTAAAAACATGGACAACAGAGACAAGTTTTATTTCTTCAATGAAGTATTGTTACCTTCAGCACCGGTGATGTTTACTTTATAATCAAGCTACTTGAGTGAATCACATATAAACCTTAAAGGCTCAGAAACAGTAAAACATTACGCCCAGTGAACATTGGTTTACACCAGTGACATAAACACAAGAAAAATTGAAATTTACCTCTGCTTGCTTTTAAACAAAATAGGCCTTGAAATAATGTTTGCTGACCACCCAGTTAGAAAACAAGCCTACCTAGACTAAAAAATAAGGATTTTACCAAGTCGCCCTATAAAGATTTTTTCAAAGGGGTTAACCCATGACTCTGGTCAAAAATTAGAATTTTTTCCTTTAATTCGTTTTAAACAAAATAGGCCTTGAAATAATGTTTGCTGACCATCCGCTTAGAAAACAAGCCTACCTAGACTGAAAAATAAGGATTTTACCAAGTCGCCCTATGGAGATGTTTTCAAAGGGGTTAACCCATCATTCTGGTCAAAAAGTAGAATTTTTTCCTTTAATTCGTTTTAAACAAAATAGGCCTTCAAATAATGTTTGCTGACCATCCGCTTAGAAAACAAGCCTACCTAGACTGAAAAATAAGGATTTTACCAAGTCGCCCTATGGAGATGTTTTCAAAGGGGTTAACCCATGATTCTGGTCAACAATTAGAAGTTTTTCCTTTGCTTGCTTTTAAACAAAATAGGCCTTGAAATAATATTTACTGACCATCCGGTTGGAAAACAAGCCTACCTAGACTGAAAAATAAAGATTTTACCAAGTCGCCCTATGGAGGTTTTTTTTAAAGGGGTTAACCCATGATTCTGGTCAAAAATTGGATTTTTTTCCTTTGCTTCCTTTTAAAAAAAATAGGCCTTGAAATAATGTTTCCTGACCATTCGGTTAGAAAACAAGCCTACCTAGACTAAAAAATAAGGATTTTACCAAGTCGCCCTATGGAGGTTTTTTTTAAAGGGGTTAACCCATGATTCTGGTCAAAAATTAGGAGTTTTTCCTTTGCTTGCTTTTAAACAAAATAGGCCTTGAAATAATATTTGCTGTCCATCCGGTTAAAAAACAAGCCTATATATACCTAGAGTAAAAAATAAAGATTTTACCAAGTTGCCCTATGGAGGTTTTTTTTAAAGGGGTTAACCCATGATTCTGGTCAAAAATTAGATTTTTTTCCTTTGCTTCCTTTTAAAAACAATAGGCCTTGAAATAATGTTTCCTGACCATCCGGTTAGAAGACAAGCCTACCTAGACTAAAAAATAAGGATTTTACCAAGTCGCCCTATGGAGGTTTTTTTTAAAGGGGTTAACCCATGATTCTGGTCAAACATTGGATTTTTTTCCTCTGCCTGCTTTTAAACAAAATTGGCCTTAAAATAATGTTTGCTGACCATCCAGTTAGAAAACAAGCCTACCTAGACTGAAAAATAAGGATTTTACCAAGTCGCCCAATGGAGATTTTTTTTAAAGGGGTTAACCCATGATTCTGGTAAAAAATTGGATTTTTTTCCTTTGCTTCCTTTTAAAAAAAATAGGCCTTGAAATAATGTTTCCTG